CAGACATGATATTTTTTCGATCTGTTTGCATAGCGAAAATGACGTAGCGCGGCTTCTAGCTGACTAGCCGTCTTGATGGCCCACGAATGCTTGGTTGTGCTCTGCAAAAGCGGAAACTCGTACAGACCCCAAGAGCAAAAAGCCATGCTCAGATATCGTCCGCTCTCCAAAGCGCGCAGCATCGATAGCTTATTTAGCTCGCTCAATAACACGTGCGACATTCGCCACTGTACTTTGAATAATTCGAGCGTCGGCTCTGTCGTCGACTCTCCCGTCAGACAATTGTTGTCGTTCCGCGCTCGTATTAAAATCAATTCATGACGAGCGTTGATCACCACACGTTCGTAATTTTCGCAAAATCCCAGCAGTACGTAGAGCGGAACACAGAAATTAAAGTATCCGGCCGCAGTAGTCTGCGCATCCCAGTCTGCATTCCGCAGAATCACGCTTCTGTCAGATGACACTGTTACATAGTTTTTGATCGTGCTAGTTATGCCTACGTTTCTGTTACGATCAATCTCCACACCGTTGAGTTCATATCGAATCTCATCGAATATAAACGCAACTCAATTATTTCCCAATGACACGCTAGCACCCTGGACCACTTTGTTCTTCGTCAGGTTTCCCTCGATGTATAGAAAGCTTTCGTACGGCAATGTGTAGATCTTGTTGCTGTATGGGTATTCTTATCTCGTCGCTGTACCCGAACATTGTGTTGGCGAATGGGTTATACGTGCGAGTCTCAATCTTGACGATGCAATCGTCGAAGATCGGCTCGTCTTTAATGTTTAGGATATCAGTCATCTCAAATGTTGCGCACCGCGAATCCCAAAGACTTTAAAAATGTAACGTTCGACGCGCTGAGCTTCTTCTTCTTTCTAATGCAGTTAGATGAGAGAGTGTTATCGAGCTGTGACGTCGTTGGCCTTGTAAAGAATACGTTATCTCTCTGCGTGCGCTCCGTTCCGTTCAACACGAGCATCTCACGCTCACGTTATCACTGTTTACGTCGTAAGTGCAATCTAACGGTGATCTCTTCTCTGCGAAAATCGAGTAATCGTCCGTTCTGGTCGACGACGCGTATCGTTAGATCCGTAATGCTCCGTGCCATGATCGGTAGGTAAAACATCTGCGCCGGCCTTTCCGATATCTTATATCCTGGCGGCACGATCGGTGAAAATTCGTGTATCGTGTGCGCGCTTTTGCCGTTGCTGTACGCAACCGCGGTCACATTGCACTCTACGCGGATAACGTTTACGTTCATTATGTTGATCGACATGTCCGATACGTGCCATCTTCGCGGTCGCAGTATGCGCTTCGACGAGAATCCCAGCAACGATCCAATGCTGTTGGGTTTGTCAAAGTTTATTCTGTACGCACATCTAATCTCGCATCTCATCGTGTTGTAGTTTATGCGGAGCGTAATCGGGTATTCTACATCCTCACCGTTATCATCATCATCGGCGTCATTGTTCTTATTGTCACCGCGCACTACATCAGCGGTTTCAAGCGCGTCGCGGTGAGGACGTTTCCGTAAAATCGCGCGTTTCAGAAATTCATTTATGTCTCGCACTTCGTACGAACCTTCGGGAATTGTAATTTCCGCATCATCTTTGGCAAAATAAAATTTGTTGTTCGAATTATTCACGTTCGGTATCGTGTGATAAGTCTCAAAAATCGCCAGACTGAGCTCGTAATCGCCGTCACTCAAATCTATGGCGGGAAAGTAGTTTGCCGCGAGGACGGTGCTCTTTCCGCTCAGCGTAAGCGTCAGCGACATGACGGTGTTCGACTAATACTGAAATTTCACAGCATCTCGCCGAGCTTTTTAAATTCACGCGCGTGTACCGTTTGTAGAAACCGCAGGCACATCTGTCCGCAGAAGCTCTGATCGTACGTCTGATAGGACTTACGATTGTACTCTATCGTCGTAGCACCGTTCCCGAAATATCGCACCAGTTCCTTGGGAGGTCGAAGATTACCGAAACTGTCAAAGTATACGACGCGGTTGTTCCTCTTCGCGTACGCTACCCAGTGAGTACCAGGCCCCGTTGCATCGTCCAGATTCACGATACCGCTTTCGTTTCGACGCACACCGCTCGTCGGTAACGAATTACGCATGAAAACGCTTCTAAAGTATGGTATGTGCATACGTCTCGCGAGCTCGTTTAATTGCACATTGGTAGTTGCGCCAAACGACATTTTTATCGTCTCTTTGGCGTTTTTTTTTTCTTTGCAGCTACACCCTGTCCATGTTTGTACGGTCCGAGATACAGTCCGCGGCCCTGTTCCATCGCGCGGTCGTGTCGTTGCAGCTCTTCGAGCTGACGTCGCGCGGCTTTGTTGTCGTTTACCGCTTTCGCCACGCTGGCCGCTCCGCCGATCAAGGATCCGAGCGCGCCCAACATTGGCAGAAACGGTAACACACCACCTCGTTTCGCCGTTGGAAGTATCCGCTTTTTCGACGTTTTTTTCTTCAACGTCGTCGTCTTCTTCTTCGATTTCATGCCCATGCCGATCTTGGTCTTGACTTTCATTGCTGCCAAACGGCAGCAGCGGCAGCTCTCTCGCCCAGAGCCGAATCACTCGCGGTAATGCGTTTCCGCGCCTTCTCGGCTAGTATATTGTCTGCCGTGTGTCTATCGATGAGATCGTTGCTGCGCGAATACGCAATGTCATGTTCCCGACACGCCGCGTCCAGCGGATTTATGCCCGCCGCGTCACCTCTGGCTAATCGCTTCGCAAGTCGAGTGCCTGGGCCGCAAAACTGGTAGCCCGGAATATGTAACTCGAAGGGAAGCGCGTTTACCGCTCGATTCAACAGACTACCGCCCGACGTAGACATTCGTTACAGTCCTTTATATTAGGTGCGGGACCGTCGATATGCGTTCGCTGCCACGGCTGATTGTAGTGCTCGTCGCACCGACGATAGGTTCGAACCTCCGAATCTGCCTTCACGTGTTTTGGAAGCCGGTCCCAGACGTGTTCGATGTAATCGCCGTACACGCGTAAGAGTACGACCTTCGGTATATATTGTAACTGTTTGGCGCTCAAGTTTCGAATATCAAAAGGATGACTCAGCGCGAGATACATTTTGCTACTGTGCGATTCGTGGGATTCGCACGTCTTTAAATAGTCGTTTGAGAGCGCACTGCCTGTAGTGTGAGCATGAAATTCGTGCTGCAACCGCTGACGATAGGCGTCACGAACTGTGACGCGAAATCGCGAATGATGGGAAGTAGCGCAAGCACGGTGAAATGCTGCCGAGTACTATACGCGCGATTATTTGCGGCCCGTCGAATTGCGGTAAAACCAATGTTCTCATAAGCTTACGCGAGAGCCCGAACGGTGTACGTTTCGAGAACGTGTACGTCTATTCGAAATCGTTGCAGCAGCCAAAGTATCGATATCTCGAAAATTTGTTTACGTCTATCGACGAAATCGGCTACTTTACGTTCTCCAACAACAGCGACGTCGTTCCACCGAGTGAGGCGCGCCCAATTTCTATTTTTATCTTTGATGACGTGCATGCGACAAGCAGGATGTGAGAATATTTTTCGATGGGTCGCCACGCGAACGTTGACTGCTTCTATCTCTGTTAGACGTACGCGAGGATACCTAAACATCTGATACGCGATAACGCGAACCTTCTGATCCTATTCAAACAGGACGGTACCAACTTGAAACACGTTTACAACGATCATGTAAATACCGACATGTCGTACAACGAATTTTGTGCGTTGTGCCACGCCTGTTGGCAACAAAAATATGATTCGTAGTGATAGACAAAGACAGTGCGCTCACAAATGGACAATACAGAAAAGGATTTAACGAGTTTGCGATACCGTAACGCGACCAGTCGATGCCGATACTTTGTCACAGACGAACATGGCAGATATGCGCGAGCGTGAAAAAATCGCGAGAGCGATCGAGAAGACGAGCGAGTCGATCCACAAGAAACATCGCGCTCTGAAGACTGGTAGAATCGAGGAGGACATCGCGTTGAACAGACGTTTTAAGCCTCTTATCGAGCCACTGCGACTTTTCGTCGATAGCTCCGACGTGCGCGCGAAAAAGAGAGAGTCGCGCGACAAAGATGCAGCGTCTGCCCATAAACGCGAGAGGAAGGAGGAAGAGGAACAAGAGGTGAGAGAAAAAGCGAGCGAGACGTTCGAGCGTTCCACGACTCTGCATAAATCCATGATCGATCGCACGATGATGTACAATCAATAACCTCCACCCCGCGTGCCAAAATCGTACCAACGATAGAGTCGTTGGAGAACGTTTTCGAAACGACGGAAGATTCGCTAGCGACGAAGATTTAAAATCAGCTGCAAACGTCGGAAGGTCGAGAGGCGTTACGAGCTGGTTTGGGTCAAAAGTACGTCTAGGCCGTCCTGAAGGGAGCGCGAGATAAAGAGAGCGGTTTAGATCGCGTGTACAGCGTTTATCTACACGAGGATGGGCTAATGTTTGGCAATAAACGTTTCGACGTGGATGACGCGGACAACATAATTATCGACGGCGTACGATACACCGGTACACCAGGTCTTTACGAGTTGATTTTCAAGAGAATTCCCGACGATGCCCTCTACACGGAAGACGATATGCACAAGTACAAGAGCATGCTGTTGGTGATGAACGCGCACAAACACAAGTATCATTCGCAGGGTCGATTATTGAGCAACAGAGGATACAAGTACAAACACGTAATCGCGCCGTTGATGTCGATCACACCCAAGAAACAGAAGAAATCTGGAAAGGGATTACCTCACGCAATGACATTGAACGACAACGCGATCGATTACGAGCACTGGGATGATCCCAACGAGCTGGTGGATCGTCTACGATTGCTCGACGCTGCGCACCGAGCAGGCAACAACGCTCACGGCAACGAGATGCTGTCGATCATCGAGGAACTTCGCGAAGCCGGTCTTATTATAAATTAAATTGCGTATTCATAAAACGAGTCAGTCGAGTGACACCAGCGAGAAAAATACTTAATTTCTTGTACTCTGTGTATTACACGTCGAATCATGAAAAAGAAGTCCGATGAAAAGAGAGAAAAAATTAGCGGAAAACGTCGGCTCGTCGAGGAATTGCACGCTCCGGCGAGAAGAAATTTTCCGCGAAGACGTGTCATAGTCCGGGGGTATGACGATCTGTGGCAAGCTGATATCGTTGAGATGCGTCCGTACTCGAGTTTCAACAGAAGCTACTACTACATACTCACCGTCATCGATGTGTTGAGCAAGTACGCGTGGGCCGTTCCGCTCAAGAGCAAGGGTGGAAGCAAGACGGCTAACGCTATCGCTGAGATTGTTCGAGAGATCGAAAGATGTCCGAAAAAATTTTCAAACGGATATGGGGAAAGAATTTTACAATGCAGATGTAGAGAATATCTTGAAAAAACACAACTTTAATCATTATTCCACGTATTGAAAGCGTTAGTGGTCGAGCGGTTCAATCGCACGCTCAAAAACGACATGTGGAAAATGTTTACACTCAACGGCAATTACAAGTGGATCGACGAGCTACCGCGTCTGGTGTCAGATTACAACGCGCGCAAGCATCGCACCATTGGCATGCGACCTTCTGACGTAACTTCTGCGATTGCCGAAAAACTTTTGGGCACAGCGTACAGTACGATAAAGATAGCGGGTCCTGCAAAATTCAAAGGCGATTCGGTACGCGTGAGCAAGTACAAGACAATTTTTGAGAAGGGTTACACACCAAATTGGACCACCGAGATATTTACGATCGTTAAGGTGTAGCGTACCAATCCCGTAACTTATCTACTCGAGGACTATCGTGGAAATTCCGTCGCTAGAGCGTTCTACGAGCACGAGTTGCATCGCGCTACTCATCCGGACGTATATCTCGTGGAGAAAGTGTTGCGCAGGAAGGGCGACAAAGTGTACGTCAAGTGGCTGGGATTCGATGGATCGCACAATTCATGGATACACAAAAACAATGTTATTTGATAAATTTTTAATTGATATATTTTGTATACACATAACAATATAAGAATATAAACGTGTAAAATATTTTTTTTTTATTATCCTTTCCATTTTTTAGAGTATACAGATATAAAATATACGTATATAAATGTACGATACATGAAATGAAAAAATAACAGTAATACATAAAACATAATAGTAATATTTATATAAAACGTTAAAACATAATGCGTAAATTATAATGATAATAGTACATAATAGTAACAGGTATGTAGATTGTACGAGAATATTTAAAAAAAATGTAAAAAGACATACACAAAGTACAAATTAAGATAATACATAAAGCATAATAATAGTAATACATATATGCTGTATGAAAATATAAAAAAAATGTAAAAACATAATAGTAATATAAATGTTGATATGTACATATATTACAAAAGTATCCGCCAATGTCCCCACGGTAACGTCTCCGTCGAATTCGGTACGACGTATCGTTTGTCATCGTATGGACTCAGAGCGATTTTCGATTCGGATATCATGTATACCTCGTGCAGTTTAGATCGTATACACGATTGACGAGTCATTTTGATCTCTTCGTTCAAACATCGAATGTAATCGTCGAACATTATCGTTTGCGCTACGACGTTATTCTTTATGCCTTTCACCTTTTTAGTGTCCTTCTTACCGTCCACCCTCACAGCGTACATCTTCGCTCTGAGACCAACGAATTCGGTCATTATCGCACCGTTATTTTTGTCCTTCATCAGACCGGGTACTTTTTTGTTCGGGAGAGGCATACCGTACTCGTTGTCCGTCGGATAATCGCTCGTGTCGAATCTAGCGATATCGCGTTTCATAGTCTCGTAAACGTCCTCGCACTCGACACGGTATATAAGGCTGTCTGTATCGGTGTACATTATTTTACATTTGTCGCGAAACAATGGTAACATATACTCGTGGTGAAATTCGTACAAGCAGACTTTCGATATGTCGAGTATACACATACCCACGTAAATCGGTTTGTCGAACTTCACCTCGAGTTTGCGCAGTTCGACGGCTATTAAATTTTCCGCAAAGACGCTACGGCTGTGGAAATTTGGATTTGCAATCATTGCTTCCGCACCGTACCGTTCATCCCATTTAGTTAATAATTTAACATCAACGTGGTTGCGCACATTCTCCATAGTTTTACCGAATACCGCGTTGTTCATTAATTTATATAAATTTTTTTCGAAATCGTTTTTCGCGCGCGTTCTGAAATTTGTATTAAGTTCAATGTAATCGCGAAGCCATGGAGATTGCGCGAATTGTAGCACCCGATGGATCTTTGTTACGCGAAGACCGTGACAAATACATTGCTGCAGATTGCGGTAGTGGATGACGTAACGCTGTTTATCGTACAGCGTCGCTAAAAGTTTATGTTCGCGCTTGCCGGGCGACTTATCGCGTCGGACAGAACGATAGGTCAGTGTGTTGGTCGTGCATATGCTGCGGATACTCGAGATCGACTTCGAGAATGTAACCGGTGGGCGAATTCAGAGCGATCGCGCTCGAAATTTGACGTATGGCAATGGTTGACACATCGCCCACCCGTATAAATTGTTAACGTCGTAGTACATCAAGTACGACGACGGTTTCGACGAGTCGTACGAATGCATGTACTTGTTATTAGCCTGCGCGTATCTGCCTGAACATTGACTGAGACCACCGCGTATACCGCGCTCGATGAACATGATCACGTCAATATCAATGAACAACTCAAACTTTACACGCGTATGTTTTAACATCGCGTCCCACGTGAAACCAGGCAAGGTGTAATAATGTGCGGGATCGAGACCATAACTCGCGACGCAACTTTCGCGGAAATTTTCGAAAATATCGGCTAATAACAAGACATCGGTTTTCAAGTACAGATCACTGTACTCGCCGAGCGTTCGGATGGAGAATCGTCGCCATACGTTCGCCGCGTGAGCGTAATCGTTCTCGGATACGGTATCGCCCGTTAACGAACTGTAAAAAGATTCGTGCGGTGATGAAAGCGCGTGTCCTGCAATTTTTCGGCACAGCCAACATACTCGTACGGAAAAACACCTTTACGAGTCAGTAATTCAAATTCATCATCCGATAGTGTTAAAAATTTTGAACGTATAATTTTTAATTTGTCTTTATCGAGATACGACGCTAATTTATCGAGACTTGTACTGAGAAATTTGAAAGAATCAATAAAACGTAATTTTACATAATTTCTTTGAGAATTATTTTCAGTTTTAGTGCTATCGACATGTTTTGTGAAGGAGATGTATTTTTCTTTGGTTATCGGTAATACATCTACGTGTCCTTTATATGCTGTAGCGATTTCCTTAATTATAAAATGCACGTCGTAGCCCGATAAATTGTGAAAAACGATCGGAATGTATAATGAATTTTTATAATTTAAGTTACAGTTTGAATGCGCTGGACCGCGGTATCTACCGGTTAAGTGGCAATGATCGCGTACCCGCGTGTCGTCCGACGCAAACGGTTTCTCGCTAATGTAACGCGTCGCTCTAACATACGGTACGCCTCCCATTGTTCTTTCGACAATGTTTCCCATTGTTCTTTCAATGGGCACGTTGGCGGATACGATATTTTTCACGCAATGCGCCAAATCGTTGAGTTGTCGTGCGAACCACGCTATACAATCTTTATCGCGACGGAAACTGATACGACGATAACGCGTCATCGTACGAGCAACGCACGTAGTAACATAGCCTATGCTGAATACCTCATGCTGTTGATACGCGTACGACGACGCATCTTCCCTGTCGGGTTCCGTCTTCCGTAAAATGCACTCCAGATCGGCGTGGACGACGAATGGGACGCGCTCCTTGTTGCAGTTGTTCCCAAATTCGAGCCACTTTTCGTCCTCGCTCGGTAGTCGAATAGCGCAATCGTTGATCTTCTGGCAGTCCATTGTGTGCGACTGCAATTTCTCATTAGTGCTGAAGTAATGCATGCATCTGAAAAAAACAAAAAAATTATAACAGTTACCTATATTTTATTAATAAGATGGGAAATTATAATAATTTTTTAAGGTGTACATACCGATCGCAGAAATATTTCTTGTGCTCTTTTTTGCTTAGTTGCGAGCTGACGAGACGCGACAGGTTCTCGATCCACGCAAAGTGGCCGACACCGTCGTCGCGTGGATCTTGCATGTACAGGAGATTGACATGCTTGTCCTTCTTATCACTAGTGAGCCGCAGAGGAAGAATTTGTTTATTTCGATGCCGTATACATTGATCGACACCGCGTTCAACCGTTCGAATTTCGGAATGTCTTTGAACGTAATCGGAAATTCGATACCCGCGAGGTTCAGCACCACCGTATAATTCGGATACGATGACTCTCGCTCGGTATACTTTTCAGCCGAGTACAGAGCGGCGACCACCGACCAGGCGAAGCACGCATTGTCCGTCGTTCTAACATTGATCACCGCTCGTTTCGTCGCTATTTCCCGCGGCACGTCGAAGAAACATCCCGCGCGCATGGGATTTAGTTTGTTTACATTCACTATCAAATTGAGGATTCGCGACAATCCCCACCCGCTGTCGCGTTCCTGGAACTCTTTGAGTGATGTCAACGTGGGTTCGATGATACGAGGTCTGGCTATTAAATAACGAGACTGCTTATGAAAAAGAGTTTTATTTTAAAAATTATTCTACAATTGAATGCTCCCCTTCAATGTACTCCCCTCCCCTCGCCACACACCGTTCCATTCGTTTTTTCCATTGGTCAAAGCAATGCTGGAAGTCTTCTTTTGTAAGAGCATTTAGGA